GATAATATTGAGATTCGACATAGGAATTTACTATGATTCTTGCCGAAGGAGAGGGAACTCCATGACTAGTTGATCTGAGGAATGGTTATAATTTCGGTGTGTTTCTTTCATCATTGGCAGTATACGAAAGTGTTGGAATGAGGCTTTATTTGATAAGAGGTTTATTATCGGTATTCAGTTGTTCTGAGCAGCTGCTGCGATTAGAAGTTATCTCTACGAGTGTTTGAGTTATGTGGTATATCATGTAATTACATCTAGGGTTACATATGTGGTTTGTCATAGCTTGTTCGGACTTATTCAGAGTATAGATGTGAGGTTTTGATCTTATAGATAATTTCGGAAGTGGAAATTTGGATCTAAGGTTAATGGGCTAGGTTGGATTGTGAATTTTTAGTTATGTTGTGCTATCGGGCTTATATGGAATGGGGTGACATGGGATTACCTTTGGGTATGTGCATGGTAAGGTTATACAGCAATTTGTTAGCTTTTGAAACAACTCTAGGCACGTTCGAGGACAAACGTATGTTTAAGTAGGGGAGGATGTAACGACCCGATCGGTCGTTTTGAGCATTTGCACTTCGCTCGCTAGTTCTCGGGCATGACTAACTCCGTATGATGTATTATGACTTATGTAAATTGTTGGTTTTGGTTTTCAGGTTATTCGGAACAAATATGGAAAAATGATTCTCAGTTTTAAGCCTTAAATTTAAAAGGTTTGACCAAGTTTTAACTTTTTAGTATTCAATCTCATATTTGGATTTTTTTTATTTGGTTGGCTTTGTTAGGTGATTTTGTTCTTGGGAGCGCGTCCGGTATGTGATTGGGAGGTCCGTGGTAGAATTAGGCTTGAATTGGCAAAATTGGAAATTTGGTGTTTCCTGGTCGGCAGTGGAAATTTTGATGTCGGGGTCGAAATGGAATTCTGGAAATTGGAGTAGGTCCGTAGTATCAATTGTGATGTGTGTGCAAAATTTCAGGTCATTCGGATGATGTTTGATAGGTTTTGGAATCGTTTGTGAAATTCGGAAGTTTGGAAATCCTTAGGCTTGAATCCGAGGGTAATTGGGTGTTTTGATGTTGTTTTGAGTGTCCTGAAGGTTGGAATAAGTTTGAATGGTGATATATGACTTGTTGGCATGTTTGATTGAGGTCCCGAGGGCCTTGGGATGGATTTGAGTGGTTGACGGAAAGTTGGGCTTTGAGTTGATGTTGTTATTTTGCTACTTCTGTCATTTCCGCACCTGCGGATTGGAGTCGCATGTGTGAGCTCAGAGCCGCAGTGCGGACACTGTGGAGTTTGGTCCATTCCGCAAAAGCGGAAGATGAGTCTCAGGTGCGCACCGTAAATGCGATGGTTTGTTTGCAGATGCAGAAAATGGTTCATTAAGTGGGTTCCACACCTGCGATGAAAATTCCACAGGTGCGGTGCCGCAGAAGCGGATATTGGACCACAGGTGCGGTTTAAGCTAGACAAAAAACCGCAGCTCGAGGTTCTTCATTTTTCAATTTTGGGCTTAAGGAACTCGGGAAAGAGGCGATTTTTCAAGGGAATTGAAGGAGCAACGTTGGGGTAAGTGATTCTAACCTATAGTGGTTTATCTATGATCTTATTCATCATCTAATTGAGAAGTTGGACTACAAATTTGGGAATTTAGGGCTTGAAATAGGAGAGTGAATTTTGAGAATTTGAGTGACCAAATGAGTTTGGATTCTGGTAAATTTGGTATGTATGGACTCGTGAGTGGATAAAAATTCTGGTTTTATGATTTTTGTTAAATTCCAAGACGTGGGCCCAGGGGTCGGTTTGGCCAATTTCGGGAATTTTGATTTAATTTGATAATTTTCGCGTGGGCTTTGTTCCTTTAGCATGTATTGATGATATGATTCTGATTTTGGTTAGATTCGGGGCGATTTGAGGCCGAGTCGAGCGACAAGGGCATTGTGGAATAGATTTTCGTCCGGTTTGAGGTAAGTAACGATTGTAAATCTAGATTTGAGGGTACGAAACCTCAAAATTTCGTACTATTTTGATAAATAAGGTGACGCACATGCTAGGTGACGGGCGTGTGGGCGTGCACCCGCAAGGATTGTGACTTGGTCCATCACGTGGCAACTGTAGAGTTACATATTTTGATAAGCTCTATATGAAATCTATGTGTTTTAGAAATAACTCTGTTAACTTGGGCTGAATGACATGTTTGGGGCCTTGTATCGTACTATTTGGACCCTCAGTGGTATTTTACTATTATCCTCACATTGTTTTTGGTAGAAAACATATCTTCAGTCATGATTTATACCTGCTTATTGTTTAATATTGCTTATCACTCTATTTTAATATATGAAAGTTGTTTTGGGCTGAGTTCCCTAAGTTTGTATTGAAATGCCTGAGTGGCTTGTGAGGTTGATGATTGAGTGAGGCTGAGGGCCATATTGTGAGGATAGTTAGGGATCGGGCTGCATGCCGCAGCGTCATATATATATATATATATATAAATCGGGTTACATGCCATAGCGATATATTGGATCGGGCTACACGCCGCAGCGAGATATTGGGTCGGGCTGCACGCTGCAACGGTTATTATAAGGTACCTATTGAGCGTGAGTGTTGAGTATGAATGTTGATTGATGAGAGTTGAGTCATGAGTGACTGAGAGGCTTGCCCGAGGGGCTATATATATATATGAGTGATACTTTGCCTCTATGTAAAATGTTGAACAAATATTTTAAACAACTTTCATTGAAACTAGAGTTTTTACAAGATGTTCGGAATTTAATTACTAATTTGATCTTGTTATTTCCACTGAGGTTTTTATGTTATGAAATGTATATAATTTTAAATGCTTGTCACTGCACTCAGCCTTTATTTATAATTGTAACTTACTGAGTTGGCGTACTCACATTACTCCCTGCACCTTGTGTGCAGATCCAAGGATTGCTGGACGTGCTAGTATTGTTTTCATCCATCGCAGATCTGCTGGAGTTAGTAAGGTAGCTGCACGGCGATCGCATCCCTGCTTTTCTCCCTTATGTCTTCCTATTGGGCTTTCTTTCCGCACTGTTGTTTTGACTTAATCCCTTTATGAAGGTTTATTGTTAAATAACTTCGAGTTTATCTTAAAACTGGAAATATTGGCTGGTTTTGTTAGTGTGTCGGCTTGCCTAGTACCACGATAGGCGTCATCACGATATGGTAGATTTGGCTCATGACAACAATGTACCATAGCTCATAGTCTTCCCTGATGATATGATCTCTCATCTTGTTTTTCCACCAAGAGTAATATTGGCCATTAAAGAGTGGTGACCTAGCAGTGGATTGCCTTTCCCAGTTTCCAGGTACTGCGCTCATCTTGATCTGTTCCTAAGGTGTTAGCCTCTTCAAGGATAACCTGCTCTGATATCAACTGATGTTTTAACTTCAATACCATACAAGAGGGGGGTGATTTGTGTGATGTCCAATTTTTTGCTTAAACTGATTATGGAAGGACCTGGTTCTTCTAAGTATTCCTTAACATACTATTATTGAAATAATAAATGCGGAAAGTAAAGAACACAAGTATATTACGTGGAAAACACCTGGCTCAAAAGGTGAAAAAACCACGACCTACTTCTCAGTAGGATTTTTTCAAACTCTCCACTAAATCACAGAGTCAAAAACTGCATTTACAAAATACTTTTGTAAATCTAGGATTAACTCTAATCTCGTTGTGACAAACAACCTCTAACTGTTGCAACAACTTCAAGTTAACTCTAACTTGAATACTCTGAGTTCCTATTACAATTGCCTCCAAATAAAGCTGAAAGGTACAATATAAAAACACTTACTACAATTGAACTAGAATAAAAGACAGACGCTTGGAATTGGTTCTTCTATCTGGTTCATGTAGCTTCAGGTTTGTACACTTGAATCAAACACGAACTGCTTGCAAAAATCCTTGCTATTTTGCTCTCAATTCACGTTTAACTTCTGCGTTTGTGCATTACCTGTAAAGTGAGACCATCCTGCAATTTATAGAGTTAGTAGATGAAGAAATAGCTAGAGTTCTAATGCTACTCTTCCTTGGTGGAAGAGTTCCACTTGATATCAACTTCTAACTCCTCCCTTATCGTGGATAGTATTTTATTTGAGTAAAGAGTCCTTCTCCTTATCAATTATGCAACCTTTTCGATCAGGAGATATCAAATATACCAAGTTAAGCTTATGTCTTCACATGCATCTCACATGCTCGAATCTGCTCGTTTCTATGCACACAAGGGATGGACCTGGTTCATACATGAGTTTCCTTTATCAATCTCAAAATAAACCTTCACTTGGGCCAACATTTATCATCCATGTATAAAACGATATAAATTTTTTAATTTATATTAATTACATGGGATACACGTGCAACGCGCGTGTTCAGGGAATAGTTCGTATATAATATGTGTATAACCGCATATAAAAATATATATTCTATATATATCGGTTTGAAAATGTAAATAGTAAATCTGGCCGATTATTCATGTAAATAAATTCCCAATAAAATATCCCCCTAGAGACACACTCCCATCAGACATATTGGGTTTGCCCAATAACCAAGAAATGACAAGATCAATTACTTTTCGTTTGTGTATATTTTGTTGATTGTATTGTCTAAGTTAAGAGCATACTCTTTATAACTATTGCTTCAAAGATTGTTCTCTTCTATGTACGGTAATCAGTAAGCTAGTATACATTCATCTTCGTTATTTTCCTTTAGCTTAAATAAAAGAGAAAATCAATAGAATATGCTGGATGTTGTTGTACAACGAAATGTGTCAATATTTTATGAAGAAAATCATTACAACACTGAATGATTTAATGCACAAACTTAACCATTCCAACCCTCCACGTAGCTTCAACCACCCCACTAAGCAAAAAGCTTCACCTTTTCGCATTTCAAGTTCACATGACTCAGCCACAACCAAAACCATATATAAACCCAAGCCACTAATCAACTCCATAAAACCAACCATATCTTACACACTTAGAAAGAAAAGGGTTCTCTATTTTAACCAAAATTATGGCTTCCAAAGTTTATAACATTTGCATTGTGGCCATACTTGTTTACTTGCTAACTATAAGTAATTCATTTATTCCTCAAGCAAATGCAGCAGGAAAAGGAGGGTGTGGAAATGCACCAGCTGCCAGCCTAATTCCATGTCTTGGAGCAGCCAAAAATGGTAGGACAAAAGTCCCTCCAGCATGCTGTGGTAAAATTGGGGCTTTGCTAAAGACTTCTCCAAAATGCCTATGTGCGGCATTACTGTCACCAGCAGCTAAAAATGCAGGAGTTAATCCTGCTATTGCTGTCACTATACCCAAGAGGTGCAACATCAAGAATAGACCTGTTGGGAAGAGATGTGGACGTAAGTTTAATTTAACCATTGCTTTTCAATAATTAATAAAGATGAATAAAGAAATTAAAAAGATGAATAAAAACTATTTCGTACTCCATTTTAAAACTCATGGAGAAGTTGAAGAAGAATAGTACGAAAAAAATCATGACAAATGGAATGTAAAAGTATAATTTTACTACACAAACGAATATAATTAAAGCAATTCTGTCCGCATTTATATCATTTAATAATAGGTTTGCTATGATAAACTAAAAAACATGGAGCTTTACGTAATATTAGACACTTTAGAATATGCCTGAATGTTTACAAGTAGTAATCTCAGAAAAATTGCAAGTGACTTCCTAAAATCAATGGCGTATGCAGGCTTTTTTGCAAAATGAAAATGACAAAGTTTGGTCTTATTTTTTATATTTATACCAAATATTTTTATTTCGTATACTCTGTATATATACATATCTAACAAAAATTTCGACGAACAGTTATCACGTGCCACCACTTGCCCGTAAGGCACAGGCGGTCGGCTGGAAATGTAATTTTATCTAATACAAGAAAAGATACACTTAAAACACGAAGTCTAATTCCATATGGGAATGCTGTCTATTTTGTTCTTTGACGTTCGTACTTTGTATTTAAGGTGACACTTTGTCTACATGAATCTTTAGGCTTTTTTGAATATGTAGAGTGGGGAAAGGGGTATGGGCTTTAAAATTGAAATACTAGGCCCATTTGTTCAAAAGCCCACTTCAAATTGCTACCCATTTAGGCTCTGTTCTCTTCTTTTTCTGCAAGGCATATCAGGGTCCTAATCAAATTATTTTTCTGTAACCTTTGCAGGATATGTTGTTCCATGAGTTTCTCAACTTGTATGGAGGAATAAAGACGAATTTCAAGCTACTTGACTATTATGTTTCACAAATATAAGTATTTCCAGTCTACTATTAAATAAAAGTGTTGCTAGTTGGCGGCCCAACATGGTTGATGGCCTAAAGCAAAATCTCGATGAGGGACCCTAATTTGTTAACAAAATAAATTTTTATATTTTTGTTTGAAATCTATTTTTTTAACTTTTTTAAATGATAATATAGCTAATCCGATCCATTTAGATTCTCTAAATACATTATTGATCCTAATGCAAAATTGTTACAGGATAGGTATTTAACAAAAAATAATTTTTGTTATCTTATTGAGTATACGGATCAGAGTATTATCTTTTACTTGTAATATTTCCTTTAACGTCGGCTCCCACCTTTAAGAACTCCCCACCTTGCTCTTGGGATAACTCGAACTCACAAACTCTTGGTTGGAAGTGGAGGGTGCTCACCACTAAAGCAACTCACTCTTGTAAAAAATAAAAGATATCTTTATACCCTTTAAATAAAAATCAAATTTTACCCACTAAATAAAAAAATCAAAGATATCTTTATACCCTTTATATTATTAAAATCTCAACTATCAGCGCTAGTCACAAATTAAATTTTTTTTTCCCTTTTTGTATTAAGTTATTTACTTTTTAATATTAAGATACTCAATTTTTATATAAAAAAAAATAAAATTACTATCAAGGGAAAGTGGGGCCCTCAAATTTGCTACCTTACCCTTGAGCCGTCTATGCTAGTTTGGTATTCCTTAATGTATCATCTATACTACCATAGTTCCATTAACCATATTTGGATGATTAAATATGACAAAAAAATCAGGGCATCCTAACATTTGCACCTAAAAAATAGTGTCATTTGCACTTTCATTTGTAGCTTATTTGGTATTTTCATGGTACATTTTATTACCCCATTCTATTTGCTTCTAGCATACCGATATAGTAAGATTTCGATAGCAACTATAGATTTTTATCTGGAATAATTTGATAAGAAATGGAGGAATTTATCTCAATCCCAAAAGCTAATTAAGAGGCGAGAATTGTCTAAGACCATATAAAGAGACCAAATATCTCACTCATAGCTGATGTGGACACTAACACTATCTCTTCCCGCCCGTCCAAGATTGAACATCTGGAGCGTCAATAATATAAGATGGGAGTCCAACATCTGATGAAACGAAAATTGAAAGGGTCTAATTCTGATACAATGATTAAAAAATAAATACTGGATCCAACTCAACCATAAAAATTAACTCAATAAAAAAAAAATTGCCCAAAAATAAATCAAAAGCCCCGTCCATATCCGATGTGGTCCGGGACGCAAACAAATGGGAGTATCACTCAATAAAATAACCATACCACATTAAGACCAAACCACTCTATTCTTTCTATTTTCACAATCTACTTTGTTTAAGAAACAAATTGGGTGAAGCGACACAAAAATCCATAAGCCAACCTATGCATAATAGTTTTGACGTCAATAGGGGTGGAACACACTTGTGGTTTCGGAATTCTAATCTTTTTGGTTTCAAATTAATAGTTTGTATATATTCATTACAATTCTTAAACTAAATATGGAGTTTGAAATAAAGGTATTGCGTTCTGCCGAACCCACAACTGCAAGACTAGCTCCGCCCTTGGACATCAATGGTGGAGACAACATTCTTCACACCACTTCGCCAAACAAGAAAAATAAATATATACAATAATAATCATGTCTGATTCTCAAACAAGTTAGAATCCGTTATATATAGAGAGAGCCGATATCATTTAAAAATAATGCAAAATAGACATTAATTTAGGACATGAATGTAAAGTCTAGCAACCTGCACAAACCCAACTAAAATCAAATACACACTGAGTTATGACAATAAAATAACAAGTTGTGGAAAATCATGCCTAAGTTCACGGTAAAGGCAGGGGCGAAGGCATACTTGGGTTAGGGTAGTCAACTGACCACATTTTATCGGATTATTTTTTTTACTTATTTCAAGTTTGAACACCCTTGAGAAAATTCCTGGCTTCGCCAAGAGTTACTATAGTAAGTGGTCTTGGATTGTGACGCAGCACAGTAGAGTGCACAACAATATCATGACAAGAGCTGTGGTCCAATGGATATATTATCCTGCTAGGAAGTTCAAGCCTAATGAGGCCAGACATACTATTTTGAGTATTGATCCAACAAGACCTTTTTCTTGGTGAAAGGAAGACATACAAGGGAAAGGACTTTAGGATTGAGAATTGTGACTTGAGAAGAGGAATGTTGTGATGACACAGGCCATGTCAGTGAAAATAGCCAAAGAGGACGTGTGACATATCGACCAGACTGTGGTTAGCAAGCACATACACATGCCTCGTGGTCACATATAACTTCCAATTCTCAGCAGTGCAGCATTTCTTGACAAGTTACACAATAAATAATATTATTGGCAATCAAGCACTAATATAATTACTTCAAGAGCCTAACCAGGTTACCTAAACGTAGTTGGTAATAGGTTAAGTGTTAACGGTTCATAAAGTTCATTTTGAACGATCACAATATATATATATTAACAGAGGCGGATCTAGAATTTTCAGTACATGAGTGCACTACTAGAAAAAAGAGAAAAAAAATGTATTAAGTGAGAATTGATCCCTCTTTCTCTTGGTAAATAACTCAACCTTCAACCAAGTGCAAAATTCAACCTTCTTGGAGCATGGGTGCCAACATTTAATATTATACTAATTTTAGAAAATATGTACATAAAATATTTAATTTTGCAAAAAGACCATGGGTTCACGTGCCCCGCATTTTACCCTATAGATCCGCCCTTATATATATATATATATACACACACAAAAATATTACTTCTAAACTGCATTAGCTTTTAAAAGAGTGAAATAGTCAATGCATCTTATATGCATGGAAAATAGCCATATATATATATATGTATATATATGGCTATTTTCCATGCATATAAGATGCATTGACTATTTCACTCTTTTAAAAGCTAATGCAGTTTAGAAGTAATATTTTTGTGTCGCTTATAATGTCCAAGAGAAAATCATTCTCATGAGATGTATCATCTTCTTTTGTTTTTTGGTCATCCATTCGTGTCAATCACTGTCTTTATATATTATGACTAAAGTTATGGCCAATTTTAGCTGTTTAGTTAATTATCTTTTCTCTTAATTTCTGTGGTAAATTTTGATTGTTGGATGAAATAAATGTTTCTAGATAACTAATCAACGTCAGTTACTTAAACTTTACAATTGAAAACGTAAAATAAACAGCTTGACTAAGATAGGAGTATTATCTAATTGGATGATCAAATTTTAGTTCGAAATATTAATTAAAAATACATAAATGAACGAAATATACTTGATTTGACTTTAAAGTCAAATTAAATCATTTTGCTTAAACTATTCTATAAAAGAATACCTACAATGTCAAGGTTAGCTATAATTTGACCTATGTCTTAGCCCCTTGTATTTCCAATGATATGCAACACAAACTACAATGTGATAAATTCAAATATCATCAGAAGCAAATCAATCTCACTCAGACAAATTTGGATGTTTCTCACTTCACATACACAGACCAAACTTCTTGGTTTCATGTTTGAAAAATACATCAAGATATGGTCCCACATCTAACAAAATTCTTCATCTTGGGCCCACAAACCAATTTGACCTAAAGCCAGCATGACATTTTATGGGTCCCACTAAAGTTAGAATAATAGGAGTGCTAACCAACCCATGGAAACTCTCAAAAGATTTTGAGGTCCACTTTTGTTTTTTTAAAACTTTGGTGTGATATGCTAACTGATATGACAAAGAGAAAGCCCCACAAACAAACCTAAAGTTGAAAGGAGGAAAACAGTTGGGAACCATCAACCATGTCAGATGATGAAAAAGTTCAAGAAAACCACACAAAGAAAGGGGGAAAGAAAAACGTATACACAAAAAAAACACAGAAATTCGTGAAAATTAAAAAAGAAAACAAAGGAAAAACTTCATATAAAAATAGTAGTGTAATGATTCCAAGAATTTGCTTGAAGATGTAGTAAAACGTTTTGCTGTAGTTTTCTAAGGAAAATAGCATATAAACTCTTCTCATCCCATTTAAATGTCTAATTGCTTTTTCAGATATATATTAGGAGAAAACTATTAGTCACTGTCACACCTCCTTTTACACTTACACCCTTGTAAGGGCATAAGGGGGAGTTTTTCCAATTAAAGGACAATCGAAACGGGATTTATTATTTAATTCAGAGTCGTCACTTGAGAGATTTATGGTATCCCAAATCACCGGTTGAATCCCAAATCGAGGAAAAGATTGACTCTGTATTACAGTCCGCGAACCAGAAATCCGAGTAAGGAATTCTGTTAACCCGGGAGAAGGTGTTAGGCATTCCCGAGTTCCGTGGTTCTAGCACGGTCGCTCAACTGTCATATTCGGTTTATTTATCTGGTTTTAATACATGTTGAACCTATGTGCAAATTTTAACTGTGTACCGCTTTTATCATTATTATTTTTTATCGAGAATTGCAACATCGTGAAAATATATCTCGAACCACGTCACATTAATGCACCCGTGGTTATTGACACATTTCAACTCTGTTGAGATTTGGATTTGGGTCACATAAATGTGCACCCGAGTTTAAGAAGATAACATTTATTAAATACGTGCCTAAAGCGACTAGCGTATCATTATTTTGGGTAGGGCCGTGAAATATTTGTTAAACGGCCCATCCCGAAGTCTAGTAATTTTACCAACACGTATAGAGGGCCCCGCAGCTTGTGTATTTTTGTTTGTCGAGGATCGTCTCATATTTTTAAAAGGAATTTGCAACGTCGTGGAAATGCATCTCGAACCACGTCACAATCGATGTACCCGTGATTAGCGACACATTTCGACTTCGTTGAGATTTGGATTTGGTTCACATAAATGCACACCCGAGTTTAGGGAGGTAATGTTATTGAGATACGCGCCTAAAGAGACTAACGCGTTGTTATTTTGGACGAGGCCGTAAAATTCGCTAAACGACCCGTCCCGGAGTCTAAGTATTTAATATATATATTTAACGAGGGCCCCGCCATTTATGTGTTTATTCAGCGAGGCTCATCTCATTTTACTATCTTTTAAATGGCAAACCTAAAGTAATCTATAATGTTCTACTTAGTTCGTTTCTAAAATAAAAGGAGGAGTCCTAGTTAATTATATGGTTTAAG